GCGTGCAGGGTGGTCGGCGCTGCCGCCGGGCCCCAGCCACTCCGTGGCATGTGGGGTCTTCCCGGACCGGGGCACAAACCCGTGTCCGCTGCACCTGCAGGCAGACTCTCAACCACTGCGCCACCAGGGAAGCCCACATTTTGTCTATTTTTAATAGTGCTGCTATGAACATGGGTGTACATGCATCTGTTTGAATACTTGTTTTCAATTCTTTTTATTATATTTGGAATAGAAATGCTGGGTCATATGTTAATTTCATATTTAAATTTTAAAGAACCAAAAATTGTTTTCCACAGGAGATGAGCCATGTTACATCCTTACCAGCGATGTATGGGAGAGTTCTAATTTTTCCACACCCTTGCGAATATTTGTTATTATCTATTTTTTATTATAGCCATATTCGTGGGTGTGAAGTAGTGCTTCACTGTGGTTTTGATTTGCATTTTCCTAATGACTAATGATATTGAGTATTTTTGATATGCCTGTTGGCCATTTATATATCTTCTTAGGAAAAGTGTGTATTCAAGTTCTTTGCCCATTTTTTAATTGAGTTGCTTATCTTTCTGTTTTTGAGTTGTAAGAGTTCTTTTCATATTATGAATGCTAGATCCTTATCAGATATATGAATCACAAATATTTTCCCCCATTGTGTAGGTTGTCTTTTCACTTTCTTATTAATGGCCTTTGATACACAAAAGTTTTTAGTCTTGGCGAAAGCCAATTTACTTATTTGTTTCTTTTATTGTTCATGCTTTTGGTATCATTTCTAGAAACTCACTGCCAAATTCAAGGTTATGACAATTTGTGACTATGAAGAAGAGGAGGAAGCTTTGCTGTCTACATCTTTACCTTAGCCTTCTCTTTCTACTTACACAGAGCCTAGAGATCAGCCAGAGGTGAAAGCTTAGGGTATTCTTAGATCTTTTCTGTGTATGTATTCTGTTCTGGGCATATGTGTGGCTTTCTAAATTCCTCAGTATATGCTATTCATGGCTACTTTGAAATGCCCTTATTTCCCAAACTCTCTCTCAAGCCTTTCCTCCCAGGCTTTCAGTGCTCTGTTGTATGCCTCAATCACAATCCTTTGTCCCTGGTTACTGGGTGTTTTTTGTCCATCTTACAACATTTTCAAGGAATGTCTTTTGCATTTCTTCCATAAATGTGTTCTGACTTAGGTGAAACAAAGACCACAGACAGTATAGAACAGACATAAAAAACAATCTACTCTTTCCCCTCCAGAGCAAGGACCAGAGCCCAACACTGATCATAGGCTACACCCTCCAAGACCACTACTGATATTGGGAGGGGGTGGAGAAAAGGCATGTAAAAATGTCACAAAAGTTTCCTACCATTTCAAAGTTGCCTTTTTCTTCATTCAACATATGCTTGATTTTTTGCCATTTCTGTGGAGGGATGAGCCCATGGAGCTGCCAACTCTGCCATTTTCCCAACCATTCATCTGCTTCTTTTTTTTTTTTTAGTTAGACAAGAGTAATGTCATCAGCTGAGAAAAAAGATGTGAGATGAAGTTTTGGAGGTTTGGGACCAGGTATAATGTGTGAAATGGAATCTTGAATACTGAGAGAGTTAGTATAATGGAAAACCGTGTGATTGTCTGAAATCATTAGAGCCCTGTTAGGTTCACTGTTACATCTTTAGAGTGAAACCAGTTAGTATCATAGCATAGTGTTCTTTAGTTACACATATCGTGCATACTATAGACAGAGAGATAGATATGAACTAGGATTTGGGTTTTGATAAAAAGTGAGAGACAAGGAATTTGCAGTTACATACAAAGAGGTAGCTGTAATGAAAGATTAATCATTGAGTCTAAGTGGCCAAAGAGAGTGAAAATGTTCAGGATCAATGAATTTTACATTCCAGTTGAGTCATAGGATTGTTGGATTCAGGCTTTAAGAGAGAAAAACTTGGGAATACTGGAATGTATTTGGAAAGTGTGATATTTGAAACAGAGATTACAAAGTTGAGAGCACCATCCCTTGTTATTTGAGCAGCAGGTCAGAGCCTCCAAACTGCGTATGCACGCTATTTCAACTTCATCATGTATCACGGGAGTCCCCAATCCCCGAGCCGCGGACTGCTACAGATCCGTGGCCTGTTAGGAACCAGGCCACACAGCAGGAGGTGAGTGGCGGGCGAGCAAGTGAAGCTTCATCTGCCGGTCCCCATGGCTCCCATTACCGCCTGAACCATCCCCCCACCTGTCCGTGGGAAAATTTTCTTCCAGGAAACCGGTCCCTGGTGCCAAAAAGTTAGGGACTGCTGATGTATCACTCTTCCTCCCATCTGTTTGCTAGTCTTCAGCCCTATTGGCCAATTTGTGTTTTTTGTTTTTTCTTTCCTGAATATACCTCATTCTTTTCTCTCATAAGGCCTTGACCTTACTTTCTTTTCAACATGGAGCACCCTCTGTCCAAATCTTTAAATGAGTAACTCTAAAGAAAATCACAGACAAGTTTTCTCTGACCATCCAACTTAAAGTCTTCTCCCCTCAATATCCCTCCTTACACATATGTGTGTGCATGCACA